GAGGCCGCCGGGCTCAGCGGTTGTTTGTCAGCGCAGCGCTTCACCTTTGCTGTGTCCGTGTGGCCTGGGTGCAGCTGGGGCGCCTCGGCGCCTCTCTGTGCGCGAAGAGGTATGTTCCGATCTTGGGCCGACTTTTCGCAGGTCAGTACAGTTCGCAGCGTCTGCAGAAGAATAAAAATACTACAGGTAGCTTTTTGCTTTGCTCTTTAGTGTTCTGAATTAGGGCATTAAGGCTTGTGGATCTTCAAGGATCCTAGTGTTTCGAGCCTCCTTTCATTTTCCCCTTCAGCTGTCAATTTCAGCTTCATTGCAGTGACATTCATTGTGAAACAAGCAAAGGTGCAATCCAATCTCCAGTTAATATTTTAGATGACATGAGTGTTGTTTGAAATAAGTATTCCGGAACAGAATTCATATGGTCTTTAGCACATTACTGAAATCTGTCCAGTGATATATAAAATATTTTACCTGATGTGATTTGGCTGAGTTTCGTTTGAACTGCTAAAAGTGAAGTCATTGCATTTGATGTGAAAATTAAAACAAAACTGAAGCTTTATCATGTTGGGGGTTACAGTGGTACAGGTTTGAGCATGAAGGAGGTGAAGTACACTGTCCTTGGTAATCTAGCAAGTCCTTAAAGAGCTGGAAACAGACGTGGGGTCCCTGTTGGTAAGCTTACACCTAAGCTAGCCGTTTAGTCTGGGAATGAGAGTCAGCGTTGCAAGAACCTGGGGTCCCCAGGTGATTTTTTTTCCTGTTCCCACGACACTCACCTGAAATCTGCAGTTCTTTCAAAGCCCTCCTGGGGAAGACTTGTCCTTCAAGAAGAGGCCCGTCGGAACTGTGTGTGCCCAAGTACCTTGCTTTGCAGAGTAGATGGGATTTTGCTTAAAATTGGAGCCTAAGTTCTGCTTCATGTCCCTGCTCAGGCAACCTCGATTCAATGTAACGTAGCTCCATGCCTAGCACAGGTAGAAAAGCATAATCATAAGCAAGGATCTGAAAAGAAACATGCAGCAAAGATTACAATAGCATCCATTTTGTAATCATTTAGATAGGTCTAGAACTTTTATATATGTTTCCTTTTTTAAGGAAAAATAAAACCAAAAAAATATCAAGAGAGCAACAACATTAGTTCATTCAACCCCCCCCACAAGCCTCACTTCTTTATTCTCTACAGGCATATTTTAGGTAAGCTGAGGGATCCATTTTAGTTCAAGGTCTGTTATAATGTACCCTCCTTGTCCACTTCATTCTGCTGCCATTTTGCCAGCTTAAACGAATGGTTGAGCAGCGTCCCTCTCAGATACTTTCTCCATTTTAGAAACGGGAAGTTCGTTTTGCTGGTGTGCTGTGAGCTACCTGAAATGGCAGCGATGGCCAGGAAGTGGGTCAGTTTGCAGAAAGTCTTATTTTCCTGCTTCTGCAAATGAACATCCTGCCACTGTGCTGACACCACTTTGAAACAAGTCAGCTCTAAAAACCAACAGCAATTCAAATGCTTGACATTTAGAATTAATTACTCCCCAGCCTGTTTCCTGCACTCCACTCTTGATTTCAGTAGTTTGACTGAAATACTTTGTATTTCATTGCCGCACAAGAGAGGCAGGGCTAGGGATAATAAAAGTGAATGCTTTTCACTTGCAGCATTTGCTTTGTTTATGGCTGGTTTTGTGATGACATTTGATTGAAATGCAGAGTCGTTTTTGTGTTGATTTAATTAGGTTCATCCTTCCACGTGGAAGAATTTGTGGAAGACTGTAAAAATCTCTTCTGTAGTATTTGTTTTTTTCACAAGGATTTGTTTGTGAGAACCCATTGATCTAAAAGTCAACCTATTAAAAGTGGTGCCTTTTGTGAGGGCTCCGTGTACAGTACAGTTCTGCAATGACAACGTTGTTGCAGACATTTGTAAGACACTAAATTTTATGGCTTTGTAGGGGCCTTATTCTTCTGCATGTTGAAACACCTTACAAAAGAGAATCTGCTCATGTGGGGAGTTCATTGTCAGGATGTATTCTAGTGCAGTCTTCCCACTGAAAAGCATCATGGCAGGAAGCAGTCTGTATTTGTAAGCGCAGTAGCAGAGTGATAGCCTGTACTAGTGCTGACACTTGCTGTTTCTTAGAAAAGCACAGGGTGTCATTTCAGAAGTCGTGCAGCCAGTTGGGGCTGGCTTGCAGCAGAGTCCCTCTTCAGTACTGCTGGGTTATCTATTGCCATCTGAGTTTCTGATAGTGACATCTAAGAAGATTATGGCAGCAATGTGCCCTAATTACAGTTCTTTAAATACTGAAAATTTTCAGACAGTGTGTTTTTAGGATTGCTGTATACTTACCAGCCTTAGCTAAAAGCAGAGAACTGGGAGAAAATGGTTTGACATTCTGTATTGTATCAATTACACAAGTTACTGACTTTCTAGGGTTTAATTTATATTGCATAATTACCTAAGGCATAAAGAATGCATATCTATTTTTTGAAATAGATGCTAATTTGGAAAGTGATCTATTTTTATCTGAAGCTCAATCCAGTTAAGGCAGAGTTGTTACTTGATCCTGTTGGAATAAGGCAATATACCCTTTGTTTGGAAGGGTGTTTATTTCCTTTCATGGCTTGCTTTAAATCATCATATGACAAAGAATACAAACAACGATTTCTAATTAAAACAGGGAAGACTGTTGAGAGAAGCAAGTTATTTCCAGCTCTGGCAATAATTCAGCTCAAGTGGTTGGAAATATACACACACTTTTGTTTTACTGCTGAAAATGAAAAGTAGAAAAAGTAATCAGAGTTGTAACAAGTACTGTTCTGCAGTCATCTTCAATAAATGTCTAGCTGAGCAAGAGAGGCTTACTGCGCAGCTTGGGTAGCTGTGCTTATTGTAAGAAATGTGACATTTTTATTATTCTAAGGGGGAGGTGTAATTTTGTGACATTTCCTGTTTCAAGTCTTCCAAGATGATTCTATTCCCTTTGGTCCTGTAAAAACCATAAAATATTTGATTATGAAAACCATAAACTCTTACTAGTTTCAACAGAATCAGTACCTAGGCCACCTAAATTCTAACAAAGCAAGACATGTATATTGGATTTCAGAACACAGTGCGGTTTTATTGCTTTTTAGAAGAGAATGGGGTTTTTTTTCCAGCTTCAAAGCGTGCAGATATTCAGGTATTTTCCTTACAGTTGGCCTTTTTAGTTATTTATTGTATCACTCGCAGTTCCACGTGCCCGAATTCTTCCACCGCTCTGACAGTTCATGTCTGGACTACAGTACAGCTTCCAATAAAATACTACTTCAAGATAAGAGGAGTAACATGCCACAGAATGTTAGAAGTGACCAGGACAACATTACATGAGGATTAACAAAAAAAAAACACAACACACCACACACCTGCTGAAATTTGGGTTTGGAGGCTCTGAGCACATCAGGGGCTTTTCAAAGTCCAGGAGGCCCAGTTAACTCTGGAAGCAGTCCCATGGTGGTTGTAATTACATTACTGCTCTGTTTCTAGAGGATCAACCCCCATCCTTCACGGGCTGTTTGCTGTGAAGCAGTGGTGTCTCCTTCAGCCAGATATCAGCATCTAACAAGTCACATCACGGGGAGTCACGGTGTCTTGCAATAAACGTCAGACACTCCTTAGCTATGTGGTTGTGCTGTAAATGACAGTATCACTTTTACTGCAGTGGTTTCTTATTCTTACATACCTTGGCATTTAGGTTTCTACTTACTATCAAGGATCAGGAAAAAACACTGGGAATGTCACCAAGAAGAGTGGCTACCCAGCATTCATTTACTTTAAATAGGTTAGCTCTACACAGGTTGAACAGTTCACGTTTTTACAGGTGCCCGTGTGAAGTTTGCACTTCTTCTGAGTATATTTGTAATTCTTCTGCTCAGTTACACTGAAAAAAAAATCTGGTCTTATGAGACCAACTGTTTCTGTTTTGACAGCGCATGCCTAGATTCCTCCCTAAATCTGGCAGTTCCTGCCACTGTCAGAGTTGGTTTTGTTGGTAAATTGCTTCAGGGTAGGTTGCAGTATGTATGAACTCAGTAAATTATCTTTTGTCTTCAGTTTAATTACTTTTCTGCTTCATTGTAGGTGCGTATAGCTGCAAAATTCATCACTCATGCACCCCCTGGAGAATTCAATGAAGTGTTCAATGGTAAGTTGATAAGGAAGAACGATCAGTGGTGTTCATCTGTTAGAAGAGTCTAAGGCTGTGTCACTTTATACTGCTTTGAAGCTTAAGAGGTGATGAGGAGAAAAGCATGCTGTCGTTCTGTGACTACGTATGCTTAATGAAATTATTTATTCATTTTAATGTTTGCATTTCTATAGCTGAAAATTAAATGCATAAAGAGAAACATTTGATTAAAAAAATCCAATAACCTACCTGAACGCTCTCTCCTCCAGATGTCCGGTTATTGCTTAACAATGACAATCTTCTCAGGGAAGGAGCAGCACAGTAAGTACTAATATCTCAAATACAATTGAAAAAAACCCTTTCAAAATACCTTGCTTACTTGTGCGGGCTCATTAGAAGGTGCTTAAAGGTTATGCATACAAGCTTTTTGATGCTAAGATTTTACTTCAGGCTAGGTGACATGTCAGTCAGCAGGTCTTACATAAGAAAATTGTAGTAAATATTAGTCTACTCATTTGTTTACCTTGGTGCTGTCTAAATTGTATTTGGGGTGTTCCTGTTTTGCCTTGGCTTGCTCATATTCCCCCAGGATGCCTGCTGTTCTCCTTTTGAACTCTGTTCTTCTCTGGTCATCACTAAATAAACCTGGCTTTAGACTTGGTTTTATAGCTATCGTCAATAAAAGGTATTGAAAAATCCCTTAAGGGTGCTCATGTGTATTATTCGCCAAATTAAGTTGAAATTTTCTGTAATGTAAATCACATTATTCTTGAGCCTAAATAAATGTGCATGTACAGCTAAAGTTCATGTTCTTTTAATTCTTAACAGTGCATTTGCCCAGTATAACATGGATCAGTTCACTCCGGTGAAGATAGAAGGGTACGATGATCAGGTAAGAGAAAACTTTTTACACTTGAGGTTTGTATTACTACACTGTGCAAAACCAATAAATATGTTGTTTCTTCGAGATCTTGACTAGTTTCATTCTACTCACAAGTTACCACCTCTCCTCCTTCCCCACCCACCATTTCATTACCAAACCTTTGTTCTTATAGAAGCAGCATAGGTGAGATGTTCCCAAAGTATTGTCTGACACTCTAATTCATTGTTCCTTAAGTAAAGCTCCATGCTGAAGTCACTGGAATTCTACTTGGAGTATGAATGATTAAAGATTACTATTTAAAGCTCACTTAAAACTCCTTATGTTGCTATCTGCTTACAGTTTCTAGTGGCAGTAGGTAGTAGACTCTTAATAATGTGTTTTTTTTAAATTTTCTGCATTTTTAATCCATTCCCAGTTGCCCTAAGAACATACTATATCATTGGTTGTAACAATCCATACTATCCAGTCTATGACAGCAGAACAATTTTTTTTTTTTTTTGAGACCAAGAAGCAAGTTCTGCAGAAGATGGGAAGCTGGCCTGACCATCTGTTCTGTTCTCTGAGCCAAGTACTGACCTAGCTTTTCTGGTGTGCCAGATATGTTCATGGGAGGCAGATATTTTTAAGAGGGCTGTCCATAGAAATAGCTTTGACAAGAGAAAGTTACACTACTCAGCCTTACTACAGCCACTGTTAGCTTAAATATTACTGAAAATCCTTTTTTCTTTAGAATCTATTGAAGCATGGATATCTATTCAGATAGGGAAAAACATGAAACAGGACATTTGCAGCAGCATAAGTGTATCTTAATTCCAACTTCTTTTACAGGTCTTAATCACAGAACATGGTGATCTGGGCAATGGCAGATTTTTAGACCCAAGAAACAAACTTTCTTTTAAGTTTGACCATTTAAGGAAAGAAGCCAGTGACCCCCAGCCTGAGAACACAGAACCAGCTTTAAAGCAATGGAGAGATGCCTGTGACAGCGCATTGAGAGCTTACGTGAAAGATCATTACCCCAATGGCTTCTGTACTGTTGAGTATCCCGTTGTTCTGTGTCAGTCAGTACCTTGAGCGGGCTTTGTGCTGGGCTGTTTGAATTTGCCATCCTCACTAGTGTTTTTACTGACTTTGGAATAACAAGTTCCAAAGAGGGGACAAGCATCTTGGTATGCACACGGTGGTGAAGATGTATTAGGTGTTATTTTTCATAGTCATGACTGCCAAGCACCATCACACCTGCAGTTAATAAAAAAGAGGCATTATTTGCACATATGTGCAAGTGGAGGTGTTGGACAGTGTAATTAGCGGTACACGTTCCCAGTGAGATACCACAATAGCAAGCTTTCCATGATGATGCCAAGAACAGAAATTAAGAACGGCTTTCCTCAGCCCTTGGACCTTTTTAACTCTTTTTCTAAATACAGGTTTACGGTAAATCTATAGATGGCCAGCAAACAATTATTGCCTGTATTGAGAGCCACCAGTTCCAGCCCAAAAACTTCTGGTAAGACTATTTCAACATTTTCTCCCTTTACTAGTCCTCAAACCTGTCCTCCATGTCTTCTGACAGTCTGAAGGACAAGTAGTCTTGGGCTTCCCAAGAAGTTCTGCTTCTCATTCTGTGGGCTGTTTTCCTTGAAGCCCCATTGGCATTTCCCAAAAGCCTTCAGTGTGGCTCAATGACCTATCAACTTGCTCTTGTTAATTTGGTTCTTTTTGTTATAAAAACTTTTTGGAAATACAGTTTTCATGCTTTGTTTTTAGGAATGGTCGTTGGAGATCAGAATGGAAGTTTACCATCACACCACCAACAGCCCAAGTGGCTGCAGTGCTCAAGATCCAGGTGAGTTACTTTTTCTGGCAGTGGCAGGAGAAGCTGTATTGCGCTTCTCTTACACTAATGCATTCAACTCAGAGTGAGATGCTGAAACACAGCCGAGATGTCCTTCTCAAGTGAAGATACTATTAAACTATACAATTCAAGAAATTAATTCTTAAAACTAATGATTCAGACATGGTCTGCAGTCTGGCCTGTGGTTTATTATATCGCATTACCTTCTGTGCCTCCAAGTCTGCTTCACTTCACAGGGCTAAAACCTATACCATTAATTATTTTATAATTGCTCTTATTTCAACTCTAGGCATTTACTGCATTAACATAATCTTGAACAGTCTTGACAAAGAATGAAACCTTTTAGAAAATCCATCCTGCTTTTAGCCTCCACGTAAGCAGAGAAGACTGGCACAACAATGCTGTTGTGCCATTCTGGCAGCATTTGGGGGCTGTAGGGATTATAAAGTGAGTGTTAATGATGACCTGCATTTTGTCTCTTTGTTAAGGTCCATTATTATGAAGACGGCAATGTTCAACTGGTTAGTCATAAAGATATCCAGGACTCTGTACAGGTTTCAGTAAGTATACTAAAATATTTTTTTATGTAAGGCAACTTTTATTTCTTAAAGATCTCGTGAGACATACATTTCTATGACTACATTCCCTTGACTTTAAAGTTATGTTATCTTAGAGTGAGTAGTCAGTGTAGTTATAGTGTTTAGAGTTACATGGGAAGCCCGCATCTCTGAAGTACGTCTCTGCTGGAAAGGTTCTCTTACGAGTCTCAGTTAAAGAGGGCAGAATATGCTTTTCTGTCTATGTGCAAGGGAAATGAACAGTAAGAGTGGTGTGCTAAGGAAAAATAAGAAGTCCTGTGTTACAGTAGAGGAAGCAAAATTCACAAAATCCCTCATCTATACCATGAAGGTCTACTTCCCTTTTGCTCACTAGGGTGCAGTCCTGTTTCAGTTTGGAGCACAAGCTCTAGACTCTATTGTGAGCCTCACCAGACAGCTGTAGTGAGAGAAAGGAGCCTGGCTACAAACATGAGGCAGAAGCTGCTGCTGTTACCCACTTGAGCTATACTCAGCCTATCATTTGAGAATAAATCTGTTGTGTAGCTTTTGTAAGTTGCTCTCAAACATATAAAAAAATTTTGTTCCCTTTGTAGAGCGATGTCCAGACAGCTAAGGAGTTTATTAAGATAATAGAAAATGCAGAAAACGAGTACCAGGTAAGATCAGCAGTGGTTAAATAAGTATGATGGACTCATGTCAGTCTCCACTTACATGGAAACATGGAAAACTGACCTTTAATTCTGTTCCTGTCTGAATCTGGTATTGACTGTAACAGTTACTTAGAAGAGGGCAGTAGTATTTGTTTAAATAATCCAGTTGTAAAGCTATTTGTAATTAATAATCAAGTTTGCTGCATCGTTATTTTAAAGGGTTATAAGTGATGCCTGGAACAAGGATGGAAGGGGAGTGGGTGGGTCTAAGTATTTTCCTCTGTATCAGTTAAAACACTGAAGAGGAAATTTGTGTGACAGCTTTTTACATTGTCCCAGCCTGTGTGCAAGGAGACTTGATGCAGGTAAGTCGGTGAAACACCTAAAGAGACGCTGCTACATTCACAGGGGAGTTTAGTAGAAGCCCTTTTATTTGCACACACACTGGTGACTGTATCTTTAGAAGGCGAACGTTATTAACTAATTAGAAAGGGGTTTTTGGCTTTAACACAGAGTCATGTTTTCTCAGAGTATCTTACTACTGCTGTAACTGAGTCTCCTTGCCATTGCAGACAGCAATCAGTGAGAACTACCAGACTATGTCAGACACCACTTTCAAAGCCTTGCGCCGGCAGCTACCTGTCACCCGCACCAAGATCGACTGGAACAAAATCCTCAGCTACAAGATTGGCAAAGAAATGCAGAATGCTTAATGCGGAAAGAAGGAGATTTACGAAATGTTTGTGTGCAAAAACAAATGTGGTCCTATGCCAAGTAGATGGTTTCTAAACCAGTGCAGCATTTTTCTAGGGCTTTCAAAGTTAACAAGTTTTCTAGCCCCAGACAGAACTTGTAGAACAAATAGCCTTGTCTTTGTTTTGTGTTTCTTGCCACATAAACTTCCTCTTGTGACTGCATTTACTGATAGGTCATTTTAATTAAGCCACATTCATGATTCAGAACTGAAGCTGTTTTCAATCACTGATTGTACTGGTTGGAAAACTTCCTAGCTGGAAAAGCCCTACTATAAATACAGCTGAGGGTGCAGAGCATTCCCTTTACCCGCATACAGCTCTCCAGGTACTACAGTAAGTTTGTCAAGTCTGCCAACAGCTCAAGGCACTATGCTGCAAGATATAATAAAAGCGAAAGACAGCGAGTCCTCATATATCCTTATTCCTGACCTCCACAGAGTAAAAAGCCTGCAGGCTTTGATTTTACTATATGAGTTTACAAGATCCTTTACAGGAATCCCTACACAGCCAGCTCTTCCAGAGATGCAGTTTGTTTTTTTTTTTAATCTGAAAATTTGAGCCATGTTCCCTAAAAGTGAACATTTTTGCTCTCCCCTCCCTCATTGTATGTACGGTTATCAGACATCTGTATTTTTACAGAACTGCAAGTCTCTGTGTAGAGTCACTGCTGATCCACATAGGCTGGATGGTGATTAAAAATGCAAATGTCTGCAGAATAATAGGTATGTTGTACTTAATGCTTTGTGGCAGGTTCATAGAATTTGTATCAGGTGTATGGATGGATAGTGTACAAAATAAATAAACTTGCACCAAAGTGAGAGAAAAAAACCCTTTCCATTTTGTCTCAATTGTGGCCAGTTTCTTGTCATACTTAAAGGGGATTTTGGAATGAATCTCTTCATTGCTCTCTAAATGCTTGCTCTGTGTTACTTTGTTTTTTTCTGTAAAATCAGAAATTGCAGTCCAAAGGGGAGGCTGAAGAGGTGTACGCCTTTCTCAGTGAGAACTCAGAATATGGATTCACTGCAAAATGAAACCCCTTTGATTAACTCACTTGGCTTTTTTTGCACTCTGTTCTCCCTGGACCTTCCTGCAGGTTCTGGTTTCTAAACTGGCTAGTGTCTTCCTGGTTTTAAATCCACAAAGAAACGGGCTGAGAGGATAGGGATGGGACTGCCTGTGTGTTACACTCCAGGTTTTGCACAGTAACACCGCAAAGTAAGTGTGTCTATCCTTTGTGAGAAGTTCTGTCTAAATAAAATATATTTGTATTTGCTGTTGACACTGACCCTTCATCCTACAGGCATCCTCTGTATCCAATAGTCCAGTGGAAATACACCGGTCTTTGCTTTAAACCCGTTTGTGTCTGTGCTTTCATGGTCTCGCGGATCTGCGGGTGCCAGCCTGAAAGCAGGGGTGGTGTTGCCTGCGAACCCCCAGGTGATGCTCCCACCCTGGTACACAGAGCAGGGAAGTGGAGGGCTGAGAATTTTCCAATTAAAGGAAAAAGAGTCACACACCACCCTGAGGAAAGCAGACAAAGTTACTCCACTCAATCTCTCACTGTAACACCTACCTCACCTCGTAACACCAACAGCCGCCTGCATCCTGCACTGGGCAGAGCAGGACCTGTCTCCTGGAGGATTTGCACGCCGCTGTGCTCCAAGCTGCTCAAGGACAGCGCTGCTGCCAACGGGTGTTTGTGGAACAGGATCCTCCCGCCC